CCCGGTGGCCGACCTCAAGCGGGCCCAGCGTGGCCCCCGTTTGAAAACGCGGCCACCTCCGGACCCGATCCTCGACACAGTCGGGTTGGCTGTTCCTTCGCCCGCGGTCCCGCCGCTCGATTTCGCGATGGTTGTCGATGCCCCCGATTTCGTGCCGAAGTTCGGTCAGCCGTTCTACCCCATCGAACTCGTCACGGAGGAGCCTGGGATGCGATGCGCCTGCGGGGCATTGGTATTCTCTTCGTGTTCAGACGTCTCAGATGGGCCTGGCCTCTCTTCATCCCGAGCTGTACGTGACGTGCGTCAAGAGTCAAAGCAGCACGCTGGCGCAGCAGGCGGTTTTCCTCCTGATGGTCATCGTGCCCCCTCCAGGGCGTCGGCGTGGTGGCCAGCTCGCCATGCTATCGAAAAGAAGTGGCTTCGCGGTGCCTGTTCGACCGCTCTGGCAGCCTATCGGCCTGCCCCCCGACCCTGGTGAAGGTCGGCTCTTCTCGCGATTTGATCCGGTAGTGGCTGGGCCGTTGCATTTCTGGAGCATTCGTTTTTCAAGCCTCGGAGTCGGGCGCTTGCGGTGGCATTTCCATTGTTTCTCGTGTCGGGGCTGCCTGGTGCAGCGGGACGCGTACTGAAAGTGGCTGCCGCCGTGATCTCGTTGTCGCGCGGCTTCGCGGGCCTGGGTCTCGCAATTTGGCCTGAACTCCAACGCGTTGCACCTGGAAGGGGGTGTCTCGTTCCGTCAACGCGCACTTCGTCGCAATCGGCATCAACGTGTCGCCGGGCTCGGTCTCGTTGTTCTTCTGGGCATCTGCGTCGCTGCCAAAAAAAGGAGGAGGAGGAGGAGGAGGAGGAGGGGGAGTAGGAGGAGGAGGAGGAGGAGGAGGAGGAGGAGGAGGGGAGGAGGCGGGGAGGAGGAGGAGGGGAGGAGGGGGGAGGAGGAGGAGGAGGAGGAGGAGGAGGGGGGGGAGGAGGAAAAGGAGGAGGAGGAGGAGGAGGAGGAGGAGGAGGAGGAGGAGGAGGAGGGGGAGAACTTTCGGGTGCGAGGTTCGAGGTTTTCCAAGGGCACCCTCGAGGGCGCGAAGTTGTTCGCGCTTCGCGCTTCGGCTCCGATTCCTCATTCTTCTATTCTCCCGTGGGGGGCGGCGCGCGAACGCGAAGCCATTCGCGCTTCGCGCCCTGGGCAGCGCGATGCGCGAAGTTGTGAGCTCTAGGGTTCGAGTATCACAGAAGGTGTCATCGGTGCTCGGCGGTTTGCCAGCCTCGGCACGCTTTCCGGCAGCTGCGCCTCGCCGAGAGCGTTTTGGGGGCGCCCGGATCGTCCCGAGCGACTGCCGGAGACCCGAGTGGTGACCCCCAAAACCAAATTCAGCGGCGCGCCAGTCGGGGAGGTGAGAAGGAGAAGGCCTTCCTAAAAAGCGGCGGGGGGACTTTTCAGACGCCCTCGCGCCTTCCGAGGAGTCTTCTGCGACTTCGCGGAAGGCTCGGACAACTTCTCGGAAAATTGGGAGGTTTCCGAGCCTTCTGAGAAGGCCCGCCCCTTCTCACTCCCCCCCCCCGCGCTCGCCGCCAAACCCTTGCCGATCAACGCTTCACTCAACTCGATGGGCAGCGGGGGTAGAACCCAGGCAGAGGGGGTTCAGCGCAGATCGACGAAGTCCGCAATTCCACGAGGCTCCTCGACGAGACCCGACCCGGCACGCCATGCCCACGGAGGCACGGCTCGATCCAGGCCCGCGTGCGGCTGCGCCCACGGTAGTGGGCTCCGCAGGCACACGACGCACGCGCACCGAGCAGCCGTCGTCGTGCCCGCTGCGGGCCGCCGCTCCCGTGCACGGGAGGGGGTGGCCGCTGCTCGGAGGAGGAAGCGGTACACATACCGCTACCCTTCGCCCGTTTTCTTTTTTTTTGTGTCCTGGGAGGCCCTCGTCGCCACCGCTGGATTCGCCTCGAACTCCCGCTCGCACAGAACGCACATGAGGAGAGGTCAGGGGAGCAGCGGTGTCCGTACCTGTTGGTTTCTCCAGTTGTGGTGTCGGGCCCCTCGAGATTCCCCCCAGCCCTACTGTAGGTTCATGCGGCGATGGCGCGCTGGCGACGCTGGCGAAGGCGTTCAGGGTTGAGTTCTGCGACACGGAAGCACCGAGGGACACGGTGACGCCAGTGGACCCGACGGAATGCAACCTTCAACGATCGTGGCCGGGATCATGTCAAGTTTGAACGATCGACGCGGCGTCAACAGCCTTTGCGCGTGCCGGCGCCGCACGGACCTACCACGAGGAACTCAACGGGTGACGCAGCGGGAGGATCTTCCGTCGCGTCGGTTCCACCTTGCGCTGCAGAGTCGGGCTCCGTGCGGTCGTCGTGATCCTTGCCGAACGTGCCGCGTGTGCTTCGCCTCCCCCGACCAGTGGGCTGCCTCGCGGGCGAGGGCACGGGCCTCGCCGCATGCAATGCTCAGACGGCACTCCGTGGAGCGATGGGGAGGAGGGGGAGGAGGAGGAGGAGGAGGAGGAGGAGGAGGAGGAGGAGGAGGAGGAGGAGGTGGAGGAGGAGGAGGAGGAGGAGGGGGGGGTAGGGTGAGATGGACGGATGCGAGGAGAGGAGATGAAAGTAGAGCAGGAAGGGAGGGAGGGGGATGGAGGAAGAGCGGGAGGAGAGAAAAAGGGTTGGAAGGACGAGGGGGAGGATGAGGAGCAGGAGAAAGAGGATGAGGCGGAGGAGGAGGTCGAGGAGGAGGAGGAGGATCGAGGGAAGCAGTTCATCATCCTGTGGACGTGAACCTCACGACCCGCTTCCGTCAGTTGGTGGCGCGTAAAAGGGGGTGACGCGAGGAAGGTGGTTGTCTATGAAGGTGGAGGGAGAGTTGTAAGAATGCGGGGGGGGCTTATCAGAAATCCTCCCAGTTTCGAGAGACCCTGACAGAAGCCTCACGGCTCTAATAATGCCAAGCTTTTCTAAAGAGATCCCGCCTCTTCTTACCGACGGCCTTGGCGCTATCCCCTTGTGCGCGCCGCCCACAAATGCTACGCAGCCTAGACGCCGCCTCATGTAGCCGTACTGGGAGGTCATGATGGTTGCGTCTGGAGCCCCAAGCGCCCGTGTATCTAGCGCCATACGCCATACAGTCAAGAAGACGCCGTGTACGTCAGAGGTGCATGGACAGGAAGCGTGGCGCCGACGCGACGGCAGTCGGGCGCTGTGAAACTATGACTCCCCTGGCGTCGCCGTTTCCATGGGCAGGTGAACTCTAACAGTTTTCTTCGTGCAAGCCTGACTCGCAATGCTGCCCCAAGGTAGACGACCCGGTAGGGCAACCGCAGCACAGGGCATAAAGGGGGACGGCCTCCAAGGACTAGGACGAGCCGGGAGCCGGAGGAAGGAGGCGGAGGAGGAGGAGGAGGCGGAGGAGGAGGAGGAGGAGGAGGAGGAGGGCGAGCGGCAGTGAACGCATCAGGCCCCGCTTCATGTCCGCCCCACGACGGAAAAGGGCGAGCGACGGGGGACGGCGTCTCAGGGGAGAGGAGGGACGGCGAGGCTCGGGCGACGGCCCCAGTGGCGAGCGGGAGGGAGAGCGGGCAGGGGGAGCGACGCAGGACGGCGGAAGTGGGGGGGACGACATCACCTGGAGTTGCGATCGGCGAGGCATCGCCGATGGATCGGTGATGGGCCCCCGATGACAAATCCCCACGCTCCTGGGCATGCGGCAGACGGCGGGAGCAGAGGCGGGACGTCGACGTGCTCGGATTCGAAGCGAGGAGGGTTCTCAGAGGAGGAGCAGGTACCCATACGTACCCCTTAGTGGGCCCGGAAACGGCAGCGCCGTTTTTTTCACCGTTTCCAGAAAAATGTCCCCTGAACGTGGAAACGGCAAAAGAACGGCGACCGGAAACGGCAACAAGAACGGCTCCAGGACTGGAGCCGGAGCCGGAACTGGTCGAAAAACGGCGACGGAACCGGTAAAGAACATGGCGTCGGAACCGGCAACAAAAACGGCCAAACGGAACCGGTAAAAAAACGGCCTTGTCGTTTCCAGTGCTAAGGGGGGGCGACACTCAGGCTTTGGCAAGCCACCTGCGCAGCACACGAGACAGCACACGACAAGGCTGACATCCATCGGGACTCCTGTGGGGGGAGTGGCCAGAAGCGACGGGGCAGGGGGAGAGGAGGCGAGGGAGAGCGGGGGAAAGCGGGGGGAGGCAGCCCTTGCGTGAAGGGGAACTGCCTGGCAGCTGCCTGCCACATGCCTGGCGGGCGTGGCCACGCTCCGCGCAGAGCTGTCGCGTTTCCGGCCGCCCCGACGGCCAGGCCGTGGACTGTTCGCTTCCGCGTGCTTGCCGGGGCGCCTTCCCCTCCTGAGTGGGGGCCGCCCGCCCCTCGGCGAGGCGACGGCACGTGGCCGCATCGCGCAGCGCCGCACGGGGCCGTGGGTTCTGAAGCTTGGCGACCCGCCCCAACAGCCATGATGGGCCTGTTTTCCACCACCACCACCAGTTGTAGGGGGGAAGGAGGAGGAGGACGAGGAGGAGGAGGATGAGGAGAAGGAGGAGGATCCCCTCCCATTCCAACTTATGGTGGTGGGGGTGGTGGTGGAAAACAGGCCCATCAAATCAGGCGATCGCAAACGTGGATCAATGGGGCGTGGATTAGCGACGGGTCCCGTTTCTTTCAGGGGAAATAGCGGATTTCCGCCGCCGAGCGATGCGGCACCAGCCGCATTTCGGGGAGGGCGCCTCCCACGATCCATGGAGTCTGCGACCGCGCGCCAAATCCATGGATCGCTAATCCATGTTTGCGCACCCCCGAAACAAGCACATCTGCCTGTGCGCAGGAGTGGTGCAGCTGTGCCTCGCTGGTGCGCGGAGCGCGCCAGGGGCGCCGCCAGAGGCGCCGCCAGAGGCGCCGCCAGGGGGCTCTGGCGCCGATCCGAGAAGTCCGCGCGGAGCTTCGAGTTTTTCATATTCATGGCATGGTCTGTTCTCCCATGTATTTCTATGTATGTAAGGGGGATGGGCAGAGGACCATGACGAGGACGAGGACGACGATGACGGCGGCGGCGACGATGACGACGACCCCCCCTCAGAAACCAGCCTCAGGCCCTCCTCCGCGGCGCGCTTCGCCAAGATTCTCGACGCGAGCCCAGCCTCTGGCTGCGAGAGCGCCCCCCCCTGAGGGCCCCGAGGGGCGCTGGTGAGCACCCACACGCCTCGAACCTTTAACATCCTCGATGCCCGAGTATTAGAGAGGACGACGGCGGCGGCGACGGCGACGACGACGACGACATTGGCGCAGCGGCAGCGAAGGCGACGACGAGGACGGCCACAACGCCGACGACGGCGATGGCGACGGCGACGGCGACGGCGACGGCGCCTGCGACGGCGCCAGCGACGGAGACCGGCGCCGCCGGCGGCGGCTGCGGGAGACGCGGACAGGCAGCCCGCTGCGGAGCGGAGCGGCCGCGCGGGGGACGCAGCCGACCCCGAGCTCGGGACCAGGAGCATCTGCCCCCCCCCTCGGCGACTGCAACGGCGGTGGTTACGCCGGGGTGTGGTTTGCGATCGGCACCGTCGGGGCCTGGGGGGCACGACACTGTCCTCGTCGGGCTTCCTCGGGGCGCGGCGGAGAGCTCCGTCGAGGTCCTCGCCCGCCCCCCAGGGTGCCTCTCAGGGTGCCGGTCGCAAACCACACCCTTGGCAAACCACACCCTCCGGAGTCGCCGACCCCCCCCCCCCAGGTTCACGGGGGGCAGCGGCAGAGGCCAGGGGGGACCGGCAGGCCCGCGGGGGGGGGGGGAAGGCCTCCGAGGTCAGGGGGGTTCGAGGTCTTGGGGTGGTGTCGTAGGCTCTCCGCGGCTTTCCGGCCTCGGGGTGCGCTCTCCGGCAGAGGCGCCTCGCCGAGGCTGCGGTCCGGCAGCCGCGCCTCGCCGAGAGCGCTCTAGGGGTTCTCAAGCGCCCCGGTCGGACGCCGGGGGCCCGAGTCATGGCCTGGAAACCAACTCAAAACGACGCGAAGATCGGGACAAAATCGGATCGGGATAACTCGAAATCTTTGAGAATCGGCGGGTTTGGAGGATGTATTGGGCGCCGCGGCCGCTCCAGAGCGTTCCGGAACGCTCTGAGAGCGCTCCCGAACTCTCTGGAGCGATTTATCCCGATCCTAGCCCTGTTTTACTCGCGGAAGGTCAGTGTCAGAGTTCGGGGGGGATGGGCTCAGAGGGGTCGTCACCGAGCCCTGATCTCACCGAGCGCGTTCCACTACTCGCAAAGTGCCTACTCGCCGATGTCCGACAAACACATGTCTGCTTTGATGTAATGTATCGTAGATCCTCCCCGGGGGATCCAGGCCATTGGCGAGTAGTCACGTTGCGAGTGGTGGGATGCGCTCGTCTATTATCGCTCACTCATCGCCGACATGGGCCTGACAGTTCACCCCGTCCAGGAGCGAGCGATTTGCTGTGGAGGGTTAGGGTGTTCTAGCCTACTCCAGTCTGAAGCGCCAGAAAGGAGTTCGACCACCAAGAAAGGATCGAAACTGGAGGGTGTTCACGTGTCGGGCCATGGGAGGCGATACTCGTTCGACAATTGGCCAACGTGTCGTTCAGACACTGTTTCAATCCTATTCTGGGTGCTCGAAATTGTTTTTGTAATGTGGTCCTTAAGTACGATGGTAACAACGTAAGTGGAGGGTTTGTCGCCGACCAATCGGCGATGTGTCACCGAGTCCAAGCCAGCGCTCCCTCCCCGAGCCTGTCTCCCCCTGTCCTCCCCCCGCAGGCTCGAGGATCGAAACTGTTTCATCTGTTCAATATTAGTTTTGCCTCCTTGTGCGTTCTCGTCCTCGCGTCTGGATCCGCCTCGAAATCCTGGTCGGGATGAAATCCTGGGCAGGTCTGGGCATCTGATGCCTCGACCCATCGAAGTTAGAGGTTTCAGATGTCCGTATGTGTGTGTGTGCGTGCGTGTGTGTGTGTGTGTGTTTGTGTGTTGCTGTTCGTTGTGTTTGCACCTCTGGGCGCTTTCTCGTGGCCGCAGCTGCACCTGCTTCGAAATGGTATCCACATACGCACCCCGAGCACAGGTCCCAGGTTCGACGTTCGACCCTCGGACCCAGACGCCCGCGCGCCGCGAAGACTACATGACGAGGGCTTTTCGGCACTGTCGGCCTCTTTTGGTGGCCTCTGCTGGCCCCCGCGCCGCGGCGCCGTGGAGACGACGGATCCGGCCATCGGCGCCGCGGCCTTCTCCGCCGCGGCGCCGCCCACGCGACGCGCTGTGCCGTCTCTGGCGGCGCTGGCGTCGCTATATTTGTTCTGTTTTTTCGGGGGGGCTTCGCCTGGCGGGCTCTTCCCAGGAGGCCTTCGGAACGCCCAGAGCAGCGCACGAGCGGCGCACGGACGCGTGGGCGCGACGCGCGACGTCTGGCGACCCCCCGGGGGACACCTTGTGGACAAAGCCACGGAGGAGGGTGCGAGGCGGCGCCTCCACGCCGAGCCCGATCGTTGGCGGGGCTGGCGTGCCGTCGTGTGGCCCTGGCCCACGGGCTCGACAGCCCACGCCGCGACCACGCGCGAAGAAGCTCTGGAGGGGGGAAAGGGGTGCGGGGTGCAAAAGGGCATGGTTCCATGGGGCGGTATGGTGATGTTATGGTTGGTCTGTCTCGCTCTGGAGCTACTGCATCAGCTTGAGATGTGCATGCGTTCGTGGTTGCAGTTGCTCTCGCAGTGCACTTCTGGCGCATCCAAGCGATGTGCCCAGGGTGCCCTGGCTTCTGGGGCCGTCTGGAGAGACGGGGCTGGGGAACCAGGCTTCTGACAGCGGAAGAAGAGGGTGGGCCACGAAGGGGAAGAGAGGGAGTCGGGAGGGACGACTGCCAGCCATCCTCCCGATCTCACCGACGTGGAGCAGACATTTTGACGATGTCCTCTGCGGCTCAGTCACAGGTTCAGTCGTTTCTTCGGGTCTGTACGGGCTTTACCAAGCCCCCGCGCGCATGCGAGAGTTTCCGACTGGCAAGACCAACCCGTATCGTTTCTCTCTTCTCTTTTTGGTTTCTTCTGCTAAGAGGACAGATGAGAAGGATTATCGCGGGTGGTAGAAAAGGAGAGATACAGAGAGAGAGAGAGAGAGAGAACAAGAGAGGGAGGGAGAGAGAGAGAGAGAAACAAAAAACGAGAAAGAGAGAGGGAGAGGGAGAGAGACAGAGAGAGAGAGAGAGGGAGAGAGATAGATAGACAGACTGACAGAGACAGTCAGACATATGGTACCAGACTGACAGACATTCAGACAAACGAGAGAGCGGTTTCTGTGGTCGCTTGGAGGGGGGGGTTGGAACCGGACCCCCCCCCTGGCCCTCCCTTCCTGGCGGCGGCGGCTGGCGGCGGCGGCGGCTGGCGGCGGCGGTGGGGACGACGATTTCCTTTTCTGAGCTGGCGCCGGCACCTGCGGCGACGGGCGGCGGCGGCGGGGAGCGTCGACGAGGACGGTGGTGGTGGTGCTAGTGGTGGTGGTGGTGGTGGTGGTGGTGGTGGGTTGTGGTGGTGGTGGTGGCGGTGGTGGTGGTTGTGGTGGTTGTGGTGTGTCGGTTTGTTGTGGTGGTGGTGGTTGTGGTGGTGGGTGGTGGTGGGTGGTGGTGGTGGTGGTGTGGTTTGGTGGTGGTGTGGTGGTGGTGGTGGTGGTGGTGGCGGTGGCGGTGGTGGGTTGTGGTGGTGGTGGTGGTGGTTTGGTAGTTTGGTGGTGGTGTGGTGGTGGTTTGTGGTGGTGGTGGTGGTGGTGGTGGGTTGGGGAAGTGGCGGTGGTTTGTGGAGGTTGTGCTAGTGATGGTGGTGGCGGTGGTGGTGGTGTGGTGGTTTGTGGTGGTGGTGGGTCGTGCTGCTAGTAGTGGTGGTGGTTGTGGCGGTGGTGGTGGTGGTGGTGGTGGTGGTGTGGCGCCGGCTTTGCTGGCCGCCGCCATCGCCGGCGCCGGCGCCAGTGGGTGGGGGGGGTTTCTGAGCCCCCCCCACCCCCCTTGGGCTGCCTCTGGTCGTCGTCACTGCGTCCCCGCCGTCGGCGCCGCTGGCGGCCGCCAGCGCTGGCGCCGGAGATTGGGCGCCGAGGAAGTCGTTTCGATCGACGGCGCCGAGTGTTGGGGGGGGGGCAACCCCCCGTTTGAAACGCGCCGCCGAATGTTCCCAGGGCGAGCGCCCGTGAAACGCGCTCTTTCTCACAGACGCACAGGAGGGAGACAAGCTAGGTGCGCTCGCGTCACCGGTGACATCTTGACCCATCCGTCCCATGCTTCCCCAATGCGCGAATCATGTCCTCATTCGCCGAAAAGGGAAAACGAAGGGCAGAGGAGAAGGGAGCGGGGAAGGTTACCGAGAAGGAGAGGAAGGGGGCAGAAGACGGGAGGCAATAGGAGAGGGAAAATGAGAGGGCAGACGAGGGAGAGGGAGAAGGTACAGTGGAGGCCCATGTCAAGAAAAACCCTGCTCGCCTCCAGGGTGCCGTGGTTTTCTTGGGTTTCGATGGTTATGCGATGGACTTCCCACACCAGGAAAAAACAATGGACGTCCTGGGGTCCCAGTGTCGAGTTTCTTATGAAAAAGGCTTCCTGCGGTCGAGCCCCTACTGTAGAGCAGAGGATGGTTGGGCAGGGGAAACAGGGGCAAAGGGAGAGGGTGGGGGAGGGAAGACAACGGAGGGGAACGGACAGGCGGGAGGATGCTCCCGGGCAGGATGCTGCTGCCCGGGCGGGGCGAGTCCTCCGACAGCGACGACGAATCCGGTCACCCCGCCCGCTGCCCCCCTCTCCCGGAGGATTTCTCCAAAGGGCTTGGCTTACTCGACCCCTCCTCATCCTCCTCCTCCTTCTCCTCCTCCTCCTCCTCCTCCTCCTCCTCCTTCTCCTCCTCCGCATCCTCATCATCATCCTCATCCTCATCCTCATCCTCCTCCTTCTCCTCCTCCTCCTCTCCTTCTCTTCCTCCTCCTCCTCCTCCTCCTCCTCCTCCTCCTCCTCCTCCTCCTTCTCCTCCTCCTCCTCCTCCTCCTCCTCCTCCTCCTCCTCCTCCTCTCCTCCTCCTCCTCCTCCTCCCTCCTCCTCCTCTCCTCCTCCTCCTCCTCCTCCTCCTCCTCCTCGTCCTACTCCTCCTCCTCCTCTGCCTCCGCCTCCGCCTCCTCCTCCTCCTCCCTCCTCCTCCTCCTCCTCCTCCTCCTCCTCCTCTCCTCCTCCTCCTCCCTCCTCCTCCTCCTCCTCCTCCTCCTCCTCCTCCTCCTCCTCCTCCGCCTCCGCCTCCGCCTCCTCCTGCTCCCCCTCCCCCGCCTCCTCCTCCCCCTGCTCGGGTCGCCTGCGGCCCCGGGGGACGCCGTGCACCCTCCCCCCCCGCGTGGCGCCCGCCCCCATGGCCGCCCCCCGGCCGCGCCCCTTTCCTGCCGCGGCCGCGCCGCTCTCTCAGGACCAGCGCTCGCACCCCGCTCCCCCGCTCGCTTCCTCTCGCCCTGGGTCTCTCCCTCCCTCTCTCGGTCTCGGTCTCCCTCCTGATTTGTTTGTTCTCTCTCTCTCTCTCTCTCTCTTTCTATTGCTCTTCCTCTCTCCTCCAGGCCTTTTTATGTATTGCCTCTCTCGCTTTTCTTCTATGCCTCTGTCTTGCCTCTCTCTTTCTTTATTTCTCTTTGTTTGTTTCTCTTTCTCTCGCTCTCTCTATCTCTCTTTCTCTCTCTCTCTTTCTTTCTCTCTCTCTCTCTCTTTCTCTCTCCTCTAAGCCTCTTCCTTGCCTCTCTCTCTCTCTCTTTCTCCCCTTCTGGTCTCGATGCCCTCCAGATTCCTCTCCTCTCGTACGTGCATGCGCGTTTTGTTGACTGTCTCTCCTCTCTGTCTGTCTCTCTGTCCCCCCCGTTTCCGTGCCCCCCTGCATTCGTGTCCATTCATACGCGTCTGCGCATGTCTTGTTTTTCCTGCCTCTCTGTCCCTCTGAAATGCCCCCCCCCCTCCTGAGCCGTTGAAATCGCCTCTTGAACCCTTCGCGGGGCGCCTTGGGCCCTTTCGGTCACCCCATCGGGGCCCTCCTGGGCCTGCTCGGAACCGTCTCGAGGCTTCGGAGGACCGTCGCTTGCAAAAGGGCAGCGGGCGCGCAACGCATCGGTCGTTGACGGATCGCGGCCTCTTGGCGGCTTCCCCAGGGGCCAGGCAGTGCCATTGTGGATGGGTTCTGCGGTTATTCGGGGCCCTTGCGGCGCCATGTCGGGCCACTTCGCACGCCCCCCATGGATCGCCCCCCCCCAGAAGAGAGACAAACGCACGCGTACAGCGGTCATGGGGGAGGAGCAGCCCTTTCCCCGAAGGTGAAGACTGGGAGTTGGAAGTGGCAGCGCCCCAAACAGTTGTTTGATTCGCGGGTCACGTCCCAGGTCCGCCCCTCGGGGGCGAAGATGGACCCCCCCCCCTCTCTCCCTCCCTCCCCTGGTTATGAATCCCCTTTCTCGTATGGCAGTTTGCAGATGGTTCTGCCCCATCGTCCATCCTGAATATGGATTCCTCCATCCCAGGGGGGCCAGTATTCCCCCTCGCCATCTGTCGAACAGATTATGCGCACGCACTCGTTGATCAAAAGTCATCAGTCCCACCAGCCCTTCAGGGCGTAGGTGGTCTAGGGAGCTTCCTCTTCCAACCCCCTTCTTCCCCTTCGGGGAGGGATATGCCCCTCCCACTACCCCCTCCCCTGGATCTAGACGGGGGGGTCCGCGGGAGCGTCCAAAACGGCTTCTGCGAGGAAGCCAAAATCATGGATTTGATTCAGATTTTGGCCCCATTTTGGCTGAGGGGGGGGGTGAGGCTAGTTAAGGAACCCCCCTCCTCTCATCGATCTTACCCAAGATGGTCCAAAGACGGCCCCCAAGGCTCCCAAGGGTGCCCCAAGAGGTGGCCAGGAGGCGCCAAGAGGCTCCAAGAGGCCCCCAGGATGCCCCCAACAGGCTCCCAAGAGACCCCCAAAAGGCCTCCCAGAGGCCCCCCAGAGGCACCCACGGCACTCCAAAACGGCCCTGGGGGGGGGCACAAGATGACCTCCAAGATGGCTCAAGATACCCCAAGATGCCCCCAAATGGTTCCCACGATGCTTTAAGATGCCCCAAGACAGCTCCAAGGCCCCGAAGAGGCCAAAATCTTTCCAGAACCTTGAAAATCAATGTGGTTGGCTGTCTCGCCTTTTCGCTGCCGATGGCCATCCGAGGCCTCAAGATGGCTCCAAGATGGCCCAATAGGGCTCCAAGAGAGGCTCAATAGAGCCCCAAGACTGCCCCAAGAGCGCTCAAGAGTGCTCCAAGAGCGCCCCAAGAGCGCCCCAAGAGGTGTCTTTTTGGTCCCCGGCGGCACCGCTAATTAATGCTCGCTTCTTGTTTGATCGATGTCCTCCGAGATGGCCCCAGGAGCGCTCCCAAGGCCTCCAAGAGCGCTTCAAGAGGGCCCCAAGAGGCGCCCAGGGGGCCCCAGGAGGCCCCAACAGGCGGCCAAGAGGTCCCCAAGAGGCTCCCAAGAGACCCCCAAGAGGCCCCAAGAAGCTTTCGGAGGCACCCTGGACGCTCTAAGAGGCGCCCGAGACCGCCAAGAGGCCCCCAAGACGTTCCAAGAGGCCTCCACTGAGGGGGCCTTCCTCTGTGTGCTGCCCACTTCCCTGGTCGAGGCAATTCCTCTGGGCATCGTTTCTGGGTGGGCTGGCGGGGTTACGCGGAGCGTCTAGAATGTTCCAGAACCCCTTGCAACAAGTGGAACGAATTGCACGCGCGCGTCGTAGCGCGCGCATGCCGGAATTCTTCAACCGTGCTCGATTGTGTAAGGATTTCAAGATCGAGCGTCCAAATATCAGATTAAGACACAGGGCTTGACAATACGGATGTTCAAAAGAAGTTTGCGCGCGCGCCCTTGCACATTCTTAGACAACCAGGCATTGTTTCTTGTTAGCAATATCAGACAATGCTACCAAATGGGCTTCGCGCGCGCTTGTCGAACGGAATCGTTCAAACGCCCTTGCGCGCGCGCGCCGTCGCGAAAAGCCTCTTTGCAAGACGTATGACGAAGTGCGCGCGCGCGCGTCGACGCGCGCGCGTGCGTGCAGGGTTTCGAACAGCGGATCTTCAGAGAGGAAGATGAACGCGCCTTCGCGCTTTTGCGAATTCTTGAGAAAACCATATTTTTTGAACATTGCCACGCAATTCTGCCAAACGGGCCTCTCGCGCCGCGTGGTGGCACGATCCGTGTCAAATGATACCATGCGGACCACTGTCGCACGTCGGCCGCGCGCGCATGCCGATGTACTTCCAAAACCTTCATCACCGACGCGAGGGCGCTGTCATCGTCGTCGGCGTGATTAGCATCGGCGCCCGCACTGGCCGCGCCGTCGTCGTCAACATCGCCACCAACACCGCTAGTATCATCATCGTGTCTACCGTTGCCGACGTTGCCACGATACCGCGCCCGCCCATGTCGCCGACCTTCAGTGAAGCGCCCGCTGGGATGTGCCCAGCGAGCAGCGCCACCGCGGCCGCGTCGGCCGCGCCAAACCAGCTGGCCGTTGCGCGCGCGTGCTTGGGTTCGCGCGACCACATAGATGCACTAGCCAACGCCAAGCATGCATCGCAATCGCCACCGCATGGGTTTTGCAAACCAAGTTGCGGGTGCGCGGGTGGGACGTTTACAAAAATATCGAATGTGTCAATTTGTTCGTAAACATCAAACGCATCCCATCGCTTGCGCCATATAGCTGGCGCAGCATAGCCAACACCATATAGCTGACACAGGTCGGGCCATATTGACATATTGTCCGGCTTTTCCTGAACAAGGGGGGGTGATTCCAAGGCTCCGGGGACCCCACAGATCCGTTGAGGAGTTGGTCCCCCCCACCCTGCCCCCTTTTATGTTTCGTTTTGTGTGGGTCCCCCTGTTTCACCGTGTGTATATTATATATCGTTATGTGTCTGTAGGTTTACCTCTTTCTCTCTCTGTCTCTCTCTCTCTCTTTCCTGTTATTGCTGTTGTTTTGTTGGTGTATATGTCTCATTATAGATGCATCGTGGTGTTATCTCTCGCTCCCTCGTTTTATAGTTTGTATCTCTCTTGCTATGTCTCTTTATCTCCCTGTTATTTGTGTATCCTTCTCTCTCATGCTTAGCTCTTGTTGTTTTTGCTTACACATATACATAGATCCCCCTCCCTCTTTCTGTGTCTATGCCTCTCTTTTTGTTCGTTTCTCTGTCGCTCTCTCTCTCCCTCTCTCTCTTCCTTTCAATGTTCTTCTTCTCTCTGTCGCATCCTCCCTCCCTATGTGTATATGTATATAGATGTGTGTGCATCCCTCTCTCGTTCTCTCTCTCTCTCTCTCTTTGTTCCCCTCTTTTTCACTGATCTTTGTGTATATACACATATATATATATATAAATATATATGTCTCTTGTGTGTGTACATTTCTTCGTTGTGGTATCGATGTCCATGTATAATTCTTCATATCTCACTATCTCTCTCTCTTCCCTTCTCGTTTGTTCATCTCTCCCGTTCTCTCTTTATGTATCTCTCCATGTATATATACAGATTTAAACATATCACGCTGTCTTTCCTCTTCCTCCTCTCACCCACTATATGTGTATGCATTACTCTATCTCTCTATAGATAGTTGTTTATCATGGTGCTGCGTTTTCCTAGACCTCTGCATGTCTGTACACACCTCGGCCACACAAGTATACATGTAACTGCACATACCCATTCATACACCGTTTCGAAACATGTGCATCTTCACGCATCCAGCAGCTCCCCCCCCATAGTTCAGAACATCAATATATCAGCATGTGCGCTTGTATACGTACATGTGCATGTACCTGTACCTGTATGTGTATATATGCATGCATGCATGCTTGCATGCATTGGTACATATGTATATATAGACGCATGCGCACAACTATACATCCAATCGTGCAAACATACACACAAACATACACACGTATTACCATTCATAATACATATGTACATACACACGCACAAACATACATGCATACATGCACACATGCAGACATACGAACGTGTATACATGTGTATATGTGAATGTGTGTAGTTTGCTGCGCGCGCCAACACACGTATGTATAATTGCGCCGACCGGCACTCTTCTTCACACATCTGCAGTTGTACCCTTGAAACGCATACGTCGGCCTTGCTCCCTTGCGATCCCGCCTTTCTCCGTCAGCCGTTCCTCTCCTTTCGCCCCCCCCCCGGCGCGGCCGGCGCACCACACTGCCGCCGAGAGACGCCGAGCCGCCCCCCCGCCCGCGGCGGCGGAGGCCCCGGCAGCCTCCCGAGCGGGTTCTACGAGACGCTGCTCGCGGCGCGCCCGGCCCCCGCCCTGCTGGGACGCTTTGGGAGCCTGGAGACGGGGGTCCATTCAGACTCAGGAGGGGAAAAAACACACAGACACAATTAATCGTCGATTCCCAGGAAAATATGCGAAAATATGGGAAGTGGGGGGGAAGACAAAAACCCAGAAAATATTGAAAAATATGGGGAATCCCAGGGCCCCTTCACAGACGGGGGTCAGCCACAGCGCTGGATTTTGCAGGATCCTGCAGGGCCAGGGTCGCGCTGACCCGGGCTTGGGTGCAGGATCCTGCAGGATCTTGCAGGTTCCTTCGCGCTGGCCAGGTTTGGGTGCAGGACCTTGCAGGAGCCGGCAGGATTCTGCAAGGCCTGACTGACCCGGGTCTGGATTGACCCGGGTCAGAAGATCCCCGAACGCTCGAGCGGGGAGGGAAACGAGGCCGTTACCGCCAGCAAAAGTGTGCGCCTGTGTGTTCGGTGCTCCGCAGCCCTTTGCCTCAAGCAAGCCCACTGGCGCAATACCGCCCTGGCTCGAGGGAAGCCACGCCGGCTCGTCCGCTCAGGGGACGGTCTCAAGAGACATGCAAACAGGGGTCAGCCAGGGCGCCGGATCTTGCAGGATCCTGCAGAGCCAGAGGAGCATCGACCAGGGCTTGGGCGCAGGATCTGGCAGGATTCTGCCAGATCCTGCATGATCTTGCAAAGCCTGGCTGGCCCGGATTTGCATTAAACCCGGGTCAGTACGTCCCCGAGAGAAGGTTCGGTCGCACAGTTGGGGACCGAGGCGATCCATATGGGTGCAGAAAGATTGGGCACGAAGACCGATTGCAGGACTCGCTGTCCGCGCCGCCGCGGGCGGTGTCCACTTGAGACAGGAGGCCGCCTGCCCCACAGCGGCCGCTGTCGGTGTTGGACAGCATCTGTTGTTGGGCATCGTGCGCACTTTTTCCGTACCCATTATGGGCGTCCAAATTTGGGGAGTTTCGTGTGATTCTTGGGTTCCGTCTTTCGAGTGCACTCGCATCGATGGGCGTCTGGTAGTCGATGGGGTCCGCCGATGTAGCGTCGATTCGCGTCGGCCAGCGTCGATCAGCGCCGATTCAGCGTCGACTAGCGTCGATTCGCGTCGCTGGAGTGGCGCGGCGCCGCGGTTTTCCTATAGGCCCAGTAGAGAATGTTTCAAGACTTTGTTTGAACACAGCGGCTTCCTGTTCCAAGATCGCATGTGTTTGTTACTCTAGTATCTTGTCGTTTGCAAGAACATGTCGAGGTGAGCCTATAGGAATCCTTGGACGGTCTGTCTCTGCCGTGCTAGAAGGAAGGAGGAGGAAGGGCAGGGAAGCAGAAAGGGTGTCGAAGGTTTTCGGGCGCGTTTGGAGCTAGTCTCGGCTCGGGAAGTTTTCCACCAGCTGCGCCTCGTCGAAGGTATTCAGGAGGCCGCCAGAGGCCCGAGTGATGACCCGCGAGCCACCGGGAGGAGGAACGGGGAGGGGGGAGGAGGTGGGAGGTCGGGTACTCGCTCCTCCCCTGTCTGCGGAGGCCCCACGGGGGTCCACAGGTCGGAGGTGCTCGCGGAAGGGCGGCGCGCCGCGTACGCGCGGGAATCTAAACACCCAATTGGATCGCAGTCGAAGGGGTCGTCCCTCTCGCTCTGCTCTTCGATGCCTTCGACTTGGTATCGCTCGGACGTGTGCACTTTTTCTCCGCGGGGATTATTAAGGAGCATCCTGGATCATCCTGCGAAATAACCACGCACGAAACCGAAAAAAACGCAGGGAATGGACGTCCGAGCGATGGCGAGTCGATGCGGCGAGAGGGGGATGGCTGGTGGCCAAACCCACCCCCTCCAAGCGAGTCTGCCTACCTAGCCACCCGCGCCGTCCCGCCGCCCAAGCACAGACACTGCCTCAGACGACGAACGTGCAAGCGGGCTCAAGCACGCAAGCGCTCTCGAGCCTCACCTTCCAGAACGTACAATCAGGCGCGTCCTCCGCCTCGTCTCCTCGTCCCGTCTTGCGGTGACACGGCCAGTGTGACGAGTAGAGACTCCCAGGAGCCACCTGCCCTGACTTGACCTCCCCCGTTCCTCGTCCCTGACCTCCTCCTTTCCTCCTCCCTCCTCCCCTCCTCCTCCTCCCCTTACCCTCCTCCTCGTCTTCTGTCTCCTCGTAGCCCTCCTCCCCTTCATCCTCCTCCTCCTCCTCCTCCTCTTCCTCCCCTCCTCCGCCTTCTCATCCGCCACCTCCGCCTCCTCCTCTTCCGCCTCCGCCTCCGCCTCTTCTTCCTCCTCTTTCTCCTCCTCCCCGTCTTCCTCCTACCCCTTCTCCTCCTCCTCCTCCTCCTCCTCCTCCTCCTCCTGTCCTGTTCACCTTTACCGCGCCGTCCTCCTGTCATCCTCCTCCACTCCTTCGCTCATCCGCCTGTCCTCCCCTTTCTCCTCCTCTTCCATCGCTGTTCCTTAACTCCTCCCTGTCGCACCCCGAGACGCGACGGGTGGGGGGGCTGGGCCATTCGCATTCCTTATATGGAATGTATGTTTTTGAAGCTTCAAATTCGCAGCGGCTTTAAGGATTGCGGATGGGCTAGTTTCGCAAGGCGGTTCTCGCTTCAGCGCCGCGCGCACGTCTTTAAACATGTTACAGTTGATTGAACAGTGGAGGGCGGCTGGTTTTCAAAATGCTGTTTTCGCTGCAGCGCCCCGTCTACGCGCAGGTGCAAGGACGGAGGGCGGCCCGTTTTCAAACTCCTCCCCTCGTCCTTCCTCCTGCGCCCCCTCGTCGTCGGAAGAGAAAACCGGATTGGAGGAGGAGGGGGATGGGGAGGAGGAGGAGGAGGAGGAGGAGGAGGAGGAGGAGGAGGAGGAGGAGGAGGACGAGGACGAGGACGAGGACGAGGGAGAGGACTGGACGAGGAGGACTCCTCTTCCTCTTCCAGTCCTCTCCCTCTCCCTCCTCCCGCCTTTCCCCCTCCCCGGCCAGGTGCTCGGGGTGCCCTCGCTGGAGAGGCGCCCGGGGCGTGATAACGAAGCCCACTGGCCCCCCATGCTTGCGCCGCCGCCGCCAGCCCCGGCAGGGAGGGATTCCAGTGCGGGCACACCCACGTGCGGCTGGTTCGTGCCGTGTGGACCAGCGGCGATCCCGCCGCCACTCTGCAACTCTGAACGCCACTGGCGACCCAGAACTGCTCGATGGTGAACGATCTGACGTTTTCGCAAGCGGCCGAGCGTTCAAGGTTGAACGGTCCCCGTGGTGTCAGGAACCGGCGCAGGGGTCGGTACGACGCTAACATGCCGTGCCCGTGCTTCTTGTTCGTGTCTGGGGCGCCTGGGATCACCGGATCTTCGTGGCCAGTTCTGGGTTCGCATCTCAATTTTACCCAGAGCGCACCACAGAAAACATCCAGGGAGTATCGGTACGTTGTGGTTCCCGCACAAACATCGGAGCGTTGGGGGGCATTCCTCCTTTTCTTTTGTTTATCATCATTCTTATTAATGCGATAATTCTTTTGAGTGTCATTCCTCTTGCTCTTCTTCTGCCTCCTTCCCTCCAAACTCTCCCTGATCCTTCTGTCATCCTCCCTCATCCTTTGCCTCAGCCTCCTCCGCCTTTTGCTCTTCATCATTCTCCGCCTCCTACGTTTTTCTTCCTTATCCTCCCCCTCGTCCTCCTCTTTTTGCCGATGCGCCCATCAAATATGACACCCGCTCGGTGAGCGAGGATCGTCCTGCCGGGATCAAAGGCAGAACCCACATGGATCGTATTGCTGGGCACTGCCCAGTGAAGAAACGTGAGCGGCCCGTCGCATGTTGCTGGGCTCCCCTCCTCGTCCTCGGCCGCTGCCTTCGTCTCCTCCTCGCCCTCTTTGTCAACACCCTCCTCTCCCTATCCTCCTCTTTGATCCCCGTATCGTCCTCCTCCTCCCCTGTCCTCCCCCGCCCTTCTTCCTCCCCTCCCCTATCCTCCTCCCCCTCCCCCTCCCCCTCCCCTCCTCGTCGTGCTCGAGACACCACCGGACAGCGTGCGTTGGCGTGCCGTCCGGTCCTCCTTTGCGTTGTGGCCGAGTCATTTTGCGCCGTGGCGGAGTCATCGCTGCTGTCTGGGGGGGCTGCGGCCCCAGGGTCGAACACGGGCGGTTTCTCGATGGGTTCGTGGCCGAGCGGGCAGCCTCGCGGCCCAGAGCACCGCGTTGAAGGAAGGGTCGTGGCCTCCTCCTCACTCCTCCTCCTCCGCCTCCTCCTCCTCCTCCTCCTCCTCCTCCTCCTCAGCTCCCTCCTCCTCCTCCTCTTCCTCCTCCTCCTCCCCCTCCTCCCTCCTCCTCCTCCTCCTCCTCTCTTCCTCCTCCTTCCTCCTCCTCCTCCCACTTCTCCTCCTCCTCCCCCTCCTCCTCCTCCTCCTCCTCAGTCCTCCTCCTCCTCCTCCTCCTCTTCCTCCTCCGCCTCCCCCTCCTCCTCCCTCCTCCTCCTCCTCCTCCTCCTCTTCCTCCTCTTCCTCCTCCTCCTCCTCCTCCTCCTCCTCCTCCGCCTCTTTGTCCTCCACCTCACCTCTCGTCCTCCCCTCCTCGGGACCCGTCACGTTTCACAAGCAGCAGTGCGGCTCTGGGACAGGGGACCCACTGGGGCCGTTCACTGTGCAGGCGGGGGCGCCGCGGTGCCTCTCAGGCCTCGCACGCGTCCGCGGATCAGCAGAGCAAGGGGGACATGGACAGGAGGGAGCACGAGTAATTAGGGAGGTGGGAGCCAGGAGGTCTGAACAGGGATCCGCATGGAGGATGAGAGGAGCAGCAGCAGCAGCAGCAGCAGCAGCAGCAGCAGCAGCAGCAGCAGCAGCAGCAGCATGCAGCATGCAGAGTTGAAATCAGCAGCAGGGGCAGCAGGGGCAGAAACGGGCGCATCCCCTCGACTTCGTCTATTCTTCTCCCTCATCCTTAGTACTCCCCCTCGCCTCCCCCTCATACTACCTCCCGCTCCCTCATACTCCCTGTTGCTCACCCCTCTTTCTACCTCCACCTCCGTCCCTCCTGCTCCCTCTCGCTTTCTAATTGCTGCTTTGCCCCTCATCGCGCCCTTCTCCCCCCTCTTCCATTCCTTTTACCTCCTGCTCCATCCCCCCTTCCACTGCCTTCCTCGCCTTTTTCGCCCATGCTCCATCCGTCGACCTCCTCTCTCTTCTCCTCCCTCCTTCCTCACTCCCTGACCCACACTCCCTTCTACTACCTGCTGCCCCTCACCTTCCATGCCGTCGTCGCTCTCGTCCCCGTGGTCCTCGTCGTCGCTGGCGTCTTCGTCCCCTTTCGCCCCCGCCTCCGTCCTCTCCACCCTCGCTCTCGTCTGCGCCCCCGCCGCCCCTCGCCCTCCCTGCCCTCGCCGCCGCCGTCGTCACCGCTGCCCCCTCCGTCGCCGGCGGCGCCTTCCCCTCCTCGCCGCCCTTCCCCGCGCCTGCGGCCCCCCCGCCCTCCCTGCCTTCGCCCCCCCTCGCCATCCCCTCGCCCTCCCTCCCCGCCGCTTCCGTCCCCGCCGCCCCCGCCGCCGCCGCCCTCCGCCCGTCGACGCCGGCCGCTCCCCGCCCTCCGCCGCTCGGCCGGGCGCCGGGCGCCGCTCCGCCACCCCGCCGCGGCGAGGCGCCCCGGCCGCGAGTGGCTGTGCGCGCCCCGGAGCGCCGTGGGCGCGGCGCCGCGGGCGGCGCCCGCGCGGCCGGCCGCGCGGGCTGCGAGGCCCCGCGGGCGGCGGGCCCCGCGGGCGGGCGGCGGCCGCGAGCGTGCGAGGGCGACGGGGAGGAGGAGGGCGAAGACGGCGACGGCGCCGGCGGCGGCGGCGGCGGTCGCGAGGACACCGGCGGCGGCGGCGGCGCGCGCAGCGGCGGCGGCGGCGGCAGCGACGGCGCCAGCGGCGCCAGCGGCTTCGACGGCGCCGGCGCCAGCGAGGACGAGCTCGGCATCGACGGAGATGGCGAGAACGAGGACGACTAGGACGAGGGCGAGGACGGCGTCGACGAGGACGGCGACGACGACGACGACGACGACGTTCACGACGACGACGACGACGACGACGACGACGACGACGACGACGACGACGACGACGGAGTCGAGGACGAGGACGAGGACGAGAGCGAGAGCGACGATGGTCTGGGGGAGGACAGCAACCAGGAAGCGATAAACCATGCAAACTCTGCCACTGGGGCTTTCAGTAGAACTCCCTAGGGGGCCGCGAGACGTGTGAGGGGCCTGCCATGGTGTGTGGATCATGGTGTGTGGAAATGGGGCGGGGGGGGGGCATGGACGCTTGCGAGGAGTGTGCCGAAACACACATGCGGAAGGCAGAGGCTGCGAGGAGAGGAGAGGAGGGCTGGGAACACGCACGTGTGCGCCTGTGTGCAGGGACTTTTTGAACACACGCTGCCCGGTGGAAGAAACCTCCGGTGCGGGATCCAGGTCATGTGGACTTTTCTTAGATATGGAAGAGGAGGGGGAAGAGGAGGGGGAGAGGGGAAAAGGAAGGGGGAACGGAGGTCAGGAGCGGAGGGAGGTGGCGAGGAGTATATGGGAGGGGAGGGGTATGTCTTGGGTGGGGTAAGAGGAGATGGAGTGGAGTAGAATCAGGGGGACGATTGGGGGGAACCGCTCTCGTGCTTTGAAAACACATACAGACATCTTTGATTCTACGAAGCATATGCGCCCGCTGCTATTGACCAAGGATGCGGAGAAGCAGGTGCAAATAGGAGAGGGAGGCTGCTGCTGCTGATGATGATGATGATGGTGATGATGATGCTGCTGCTGGTGCTGATGATGTTGATGATGATGATGATGATGATGATGATGATGATGATGATGATGATGGTGATGGTGATGGTGATGGTTATGGTTATAGTTGTGATTATGGTGATGATCAAGAGGAGTCTAAATGAGGATGAGGATGAATTCCTGGAGGATGAGAAGGAGAAGGAGAAGGACGAGTATGAGGATGAGGATGGTGGTGGTGGCGATGATGATGACGACGGCAACATCGGCGACGACGACGACGACAAGAGTCAACAACAATCCCCTTTTCAGATCTTTCGTTATGGGAGCGTCGAGGCGTCTCGAAGCCATAGTGGGAGGCTCTTTGGGCCATCTTGACGGCGTTCAAAGAGGGTCCTCTAAGAGGCTTGGGGAGGCCTCTTGGGTCATTCTAGGAGGTCTTGGCGCCTCTTGCAGGCGTCATGGAGGTCTTCGTGAGAGCCTTCCTGAGCTACCCCGTACACTGGTCGAGATGTTGTTTTCCTCTGGATTGATTGTGCCACATGGACTATTCGATGTTCCGCGGGTCGGTCCGATGCCGAGTTTGATTGGAGCGTTACGTGATGTATCGTTGCCAAATCACTTCAAGATGCCATCGCAAGCGGAGCGCACTGCAGGACCACCTTCGCATGATTGATGTGAAGTGTTCTGGCGCAAGTGGCTGTGTAACGCCAGCAAGCTTTACAGGTTTAATTGATCTGTCGTGTCGGGTTGGGCGTTCTATTTGTTAAGTCGGGCGTGCAATCACATTGCATCGATGTCCTAGGTCGTGTTTGTTGACTTATCTTTGGCAGATCCAAATCAACATGTTCGATGCTATGTATAGGCTCAGTTCTATAGCAATGTTCAAGCTCAGCGCGTTCGCTGTTGCCTTCACCATTCTAGCACAGCCATCTTTCGATGAGTCAAGGCAAAGGCTGAGGTGAACGCTGTGAATCTGCAACTTCAGATTTCACAAGCATGTTTAACGATGCTTGACGCCGAGTGCTCCAACATGTGTTATACATCTTTGGCTTACTGAGGTTGTCATCCTCGTGCTCCCCATGTTCCTCTGCTCATCGCAGTCGTCGTTGCCCTCCTTGTCGCTATCATTCCCCTCCTCCCCTACTTCTACGTCCATGCCGCCTACACCTCTTTCTACTCATCCGCATCCGGCGCCACCTGCTGCTCCAGCTCTGGCCTCTCCTATTCTTCCTCCTTCGTCTATCTTATCCCTCCTCCCTCTCCTTCATTCTCCCTTCCATGCCCTGGACCCCATGGGGAACCCTTGAACCCCATAGTCTCCTGGGAAGCGGACCCCACTGGAACTGCTGGAAACCTCCTGAGAGCCCCTTGAACCCTCCAGAACCTGATGGAACCTCCTCCCTTGTCATCCTTTCCTGCCCCATATTCCCAGAACCCCTGGAATTCTCCTCGACATCCTCCCTCCTCCTTCGTCCGAGGGAGGATCGAGGAGCGTGGAGGAGGAGCGTGGAGGAGGAGGAGCGAGGAGGCGGGGGAAGGCGGAGGAGGAGAAGCAGGAGGACGACGCCGACGTCGCCGACGGCCCTCAAGCCGACGACGACGCCGGCGGCGGCGGAGGCGAGGGTGGCGAGGGAGCCTTCGACGGCGGCGGCGGCGGCGACGACGGCGGCGACGACAACGACGACGCATCGGGCATCCCGGCCCCTCCCGTTGCGAGGCCGAGGGGCCGGGCGTCCGTGCCGCGATCGAGATCGCCCAGCACGAGAAGACCTGCCGGCTGGCCTGTCCCCAAAGTGCGGGCGGAGGGAGGCGAGCAGTGGCGAAGCGTCCTGGCTTGCCAGGAGGCCCGCCAAAGAGTGTTCTAAGGTCCTTGTCGCGGGTTGCGCGAATCGTTCTGAGAACGTTTCTGGTTGAGACTGTCTTGGTGTAACATATCGGCTTGATGCTCTCAGAACATTGTTTTTGCTATTTCCACTGTTTGTTCTAAGCATATTCCGTGGTTGGCCGATCGGGATGCCAGGACGGTTGGTCCTTGTTCAAGAGATAGCGTCGCAGTCGACGTCGTCGTCGTCGTCGTGGACCGCGGCTTCGACGGTATCGGACCAAGGCTGTTCGCTGGCGGAGTGGTTCAGTCAGAGGAGGACGAGGTACCGAGGGCTGCGAGGCTGCTGCTGGTCTTCCTGTGTATCCCCCGAAGATGGAAAATTGCACAAGCATAGACCTTGGGAGGTCTGCGCGACTTTCTCTGGCCGGCGATGGCCCCCCTGGCGCGAAGCGGGAGTGTGGTGCCATCGCCAACCCAAGAAATCCGCGCGGACTTCTGGAAGCGTATGACGATGTGCGATCGTTACTGAAGACAAGGAGGTCAGAAGAGGAACACATGCTGGTGCATCTGCCGGTCTTTCGTGGCCACGGCCGGATTCGCTCGGAGGTGCTCGTCGGAACGCACCCCAGGAACGATCCTGGGAGGAACGCTGTCTGTTTCGCTGCTTTCCGTGATCTCAGAGCCGGCCCAGGCCAGGCCCAGCACAGGCCCAGAACAGGCCCAGAACGGGCCCAGAACGGGCTCAGAACGGGCCCAGACCGGGCCCAATATTCGAGGGAGGGGAAACCACCTGGACCAGACAATTCGGGCGAAGAGAACTATGCACACGCATCGATTCTGGCCAAGCCCATCTTGGGCCCAGAATCGGTGCATATGTTTTCCTGGTCAAGGCAGGAGGGCATATGCACCGATCCTGGGCTCAGGATTGGCCTGGTCAGAACCGGTGTATGTGCATAGTTCTCTTTCCTCTAACAATTTACATTTACTAAACGGCCTCGGGCGTTTACTAAACAGCCCTGCCCTGTTTGACTCCTTCTTCGGCTGCGTTGACTAAGCGGCTTCGCGTGTCGGGGTGGTTATTATCGGGTAGGATTTTCTGCCCTCTGAATATGACCCAGAACGGGCCCAGAACGGTCCCCAAACGCGCCCAAACAAGCGGCCCCCTGGGGTCCTCTTGGCCCGAAAAGTCGAGCGACAAGCCGCGACGGGTCAGAAGGGGCACGCGGGAAACCCTGGCAGACGTGGTAATTTCGGTTCCGAACCCTCTACAGGCCCCCCAGGAGCAAGGGCTAAGGCTTACGGGACTCGGTGAAGGCCCTGAGGACACGCCCACTCCGTGTCCAGCGGCACGGTGACGGATGGATGAGGGGGGGGTGGCGGTGGATCGCAGGCGGGAGTCTCCGGGATTCCAGGGGCAGTGTGGATAATATTGGGGAGAGTCTACGCACATGGACGTCGTCGATACTCAAGAGGTCATCGGAGATGCGGTCGGTGGCGCCTCTCCTCCTCACCTGTCCTCCCTCTCCTGGCCACGGCAGGTTCTCGGGACCGACGGGGGGCCAGTCCTGCCGGTGCCTTGCCGTGGGCGCGGGCCCGTCTCTCGTGTTCGCGTCTCTTTCGGACCGCTGAGCCTCACGAAAATCGGGCCAAGGCTCGAGGGATCCAGAATCGTCCATGATATTGTGGGTAGGATTAGCTTTCTGCTGCACTTCCGAGGCCTGCGTGGCCCAGAGCCACTGGCAGAGCTGTCCGCGGCCACACGCTGGCTCCAGTGGGGAACACGTGAGCGGCGCCAAGGCACGGGGTCGACTGCGTCGACATGGGCGCGCAATTTGCCCGCGTAGGGTCGCGCGTGAGCGCCCTCGCCTCCACTGTGGCGTGCCGCGCTGGCGGCCCTCGCAAGTTAACGCGTCAGTACGCTACGCCATCTCGCGCAAGACCCGTCGTTGATCGTTGCCCACTTGCTGTCTCCAGCGGAAAACATTTGTCTCTTCTCCTGTTGCCACGGACCGCCGCGCAGGTGCTCGCTCAGTGCGTTGAAGGCATGTCACAAGGGAGAAGCATATACGGAGAGTGCCTGATCAGAAGGCGGCGGGACTTCTCAAAGGCCCTCGCGCCTTCTGAGAAGTATGTTGCGTCTGCGGGGAAGACTTGGAGTACTTCTCAGCAGGCCGGGGGACTTCAGAGCCTTCTGAGAAGGCCTTCTCCTCCCCCCCTCGCTCGCCGCCGAACGGGGGGTGCCACCTCCAGCGAGGAGGTCCTCTTGGCATCGCTCGGGCGTGTGCGTTTTTAGAGGGCCACATGCGAACCTTACCCCTACCCCCCACTCAGAAATCGTCGGGGGTAGGGGTAGGGTTCGCATGTGCCCCCTAGTTTTCCTCCGCGAGGACCATCGAAGAGCACCCAGGAGCACCTTGTGGAGAAAAAGAACACGCACGAAACCTGTAATCTCACGGGCAACTGACGCCCCAGCGGTGGCAATGCCACCATGCCTTCCGTTGTCCTCTTTCCCGTAGGCATGCTGGCACGTACGCTTATGTCGGGCGTGTCCCCCTACAGGGGGATTTTCGACGAAAAATAAAACATACCCTAAACATACCCCCACCATGTAAAAAAATATACTCAAAAAATAGTCCACTGACTTTTCTTTTTTGATTTTTGTGGCGTATTTTTTATTTTTCGTCGAAAATCCCCCTGTAGGGGGACAGGCCCGACTTAAACTTACGCGTTGGTGTTGGGCCGGCCTGTTCCGTAGCGTACGAGGCTGTTTGCCAAATTGTGTCGGTGTTTGCCCTTCGTCGTCGTCGTCGTCCCCTCCTCCGCGAGTTTTCACGCTCATGAGTCACACAGGGATGCAAAGTGTAGCCAGCTCGCACAACAAGGATGAGCAACTTTCCTGCATCCTTCCCCTCTGGCCCATCCCTGGCCGCTTTCACTGGCAGCGCCCCGCTCGAACAGTGCCGACAGTGGCCTTCCAGTGCCCTTGTATCCTCATCGTGCGTCCTTATGATGATACGGGTTGACCGTGTATCCTGGGGTTCTATCGGGCCGGACGAAAGGGGGGGATTGGGAAAGGGGGGGTTACGAAATTTGCTGCGTGCAGCTGGTTTCGGCCTCACCGAGGGGCCCATTCCTCGATACATCGCCGCCTCTGGCGGCGGGAGGCGCCGGGAAAATCAGCTATACGCGAGCTGATTCTGAAACCCCCCCTTTGCTATCCCCCCCTTTCGCCCGACCCGATTCTAACAGCTCCTTCCTTTCCCCCTCCCTCCCTTCCTGCATCCGGGCACTTCGCAGAGCCGTCGCCCGGCCTGCCCGAGGCCGCGTGCGGGACTGCCTCTGCCGCGCTGCGAAGCAGAAGGCGCTTGCCAGATGAGGGTTCTGCTCCTCCTCCTCCTCCTCCTCCTCCTCCTCCTCCTCCTCCTCGGGTCCTTCCCTTCCCCCTCCTTCCACGGCCGTTCCTCCTCTCCCCCTCCCTCCCTTCCTGCACCCGGGCACCTCGCAGAGCCGCCCCCTGGCCTTCCCCCGAGCCCGCGTGCGGACTTGCTTTTGCCGCGCTGCGAGGCAGAGGGGTGCATGCCAGATGAGGGTTCTCCTCCTTTTCCTCCTCTTCCTCCTCCTCTTTCTCCTCCTCCTCCTCCTCCTCCTCCTCCTCCTCCTCCTCCTCCTCCTCCTCCCCCTCCTCCTCTCAAGCCGTTCGGCCCTGGCCCCATTCTTCCATGGCTGTCCCAGGACCTCCACGAGGTGCTTGAGGGACTTCCGTGCTCCTGTCCTTCCAGGTTCAGGTTTTACGGTTGACTAACGCTTGGACATCATGGGGCGCCAGGCCCGCCGCTCCCCCGCTGCCGAGGGCGCGCCGTGGCGCCACGGGGGCTCCACCCGCCTCTGGAGCCGCTGCAAGGGGTGCAACGCTTGCGAGTACAACGACCGCCTCGACCCCGCCAAGCCTGTCTGCCCCAGGTGCCACAGGCCCACGAAGTTGCACCGCACTCGCTCTCGGAGCCCGAGTGTCGTCCGCTTCGGGCCCGAGGAGGTCATCGAGGTCTCCGACCAGACCAATGGCGCCGAGGGCACAGCCTCGGCAGGCGCCAAGCCACGCTCGGGCGTTTCCTCCAACGCCGAGCTTGCTGCCCACCTGCGCCAGGCCATGGCCATCGCCACCGACCCCGCCATGCAAGCGGTCCCCAACGTTCAGGTGCAGCGGCTGAGCGCCACCGAGGCCGTCGCGGAGCATGACAGCGAGGTCGAGGCCACGCGGAAGGCCGACGGCGCTTGGCGAGCGGCCACGAATCATCACAACCAGGTGGTCAGCAACGTGCTCAGGGTCCGTAAGGCGCTCGAAGCTGCTGGGAGTAAAAAGCAAGCCGCTGCGCCCGAGGCCGCTCGCACAGAGCAGGCCAAGAGGCGCGCGGCGGAGGCCCTCGCCAGGGCAGAGGGCGCCGGCCGCAGCGACCCGACGTCCCGAGATGCCCAAGGCAACGCGCCCCAGGAGCCGTTCACGGTAACATGGGTCCCCGACCTGTTCAGGCAGATCGACGAGCTCGATTTCGCCGAAGGCGAGCAGGCGGAGCTAGACGCCATCAAGAAGGGGCTGGAGGACCTCCAGCAACAGTTCGCCACCAAGGGCCCGCAGGTCACGAGCTTGATCGAGAGGGCTCGGAAGGTCCGCAGCGCGCAGGAGGCGAGGTGCGCCAAGAAGCGCAAAGGAGCCGACGGCCAGACCAACGGCGGCACGCCTGGGCAGGCCGACGAGTCAGCCACGCCGCCGCGCGGCTCGAGCGGCGCGGCTGGCGCCGAAGGCGGCTCAGCAGACGGCAGCGCGAGCGCCAGCCCCGCCGAGGCGGCGCCCTCCAAGGGCGCCGACGAGCAGCTGGCCGCGGAGGCCGCCAAGCTCTCGGCCGCGCGTTTCGCAGCCCAGGCCGCTGCCGCTGACGCCAGCCGCCCAGGAGGAGCCGCTGCAGAGCCTGCCGCCAAGGCCAGCGCCAAGGGCAAGGGCAGGCGCAATGGCCGAGCCCATTCCGAGTGACTAGGCACAGCAGGGTCACCGCCAGCTGCGGATGCGGCGAGCGCCCCTGTCGCTCACGGCGCCGCTGCAGCTACGACCAGTACATGTACATCCTCTACCCTGTTCTTTGGGAACATCACGTGTGCAGGCCAGAAGACGTTCGACTGGGTCAGAACCTCGACGGACGATTTCGTGGCCTTCGTGGAGACACACATCAGTGACAGCAGCGCTGGCAAGTGGAAGACACGATATCGAGATATCAATCGTCGGCTCTTCGCCAATCCTGCGAGGCCACCTCGGGCTGATCAGGAAGTTGGGAGACTCCACGATTCTACTAGTGAGTCCACAGTCGCTCCTGAGCATGCTAATGAGGGAGGTGGGCGGTTTCTCCCCAGAGGGCACATCCGCGCCCATCCCCTCCTTGAAGGCCTCCAGGCCAAAGGGCTCCAGTGCCTTCCCTCCAGCAGCCTCGACGGATTCCTCCCCGTGGTGATTAATTTCCAGGGGTACTCCATCGTAGCTGTTTTCTTTTACGCTTTCTGTAGCATAGGCATGAGAGGGCTCAATGTCGCCCGCTTTAGGCGTCTCGGGAGCTTCCTCAGGTCCCTCCAGCTCCCGTGGCATGTCGTCGGGGACTGGAATCTCAGCCCCGAAGCGCTCAGCAGGACTGGCTTTCTTCAGCAGGTCCAAGGGGAGATCCTTTGCGCCCCTGTGGAGTACACGTGTGACCCTGGCGGCGGGCGTAAGCCATCGCATTTGGATTTCGTTGTTCACAGCGCTGCTGCCCGCCCGTATTTGGTCGACGTCTTTGCTGTGCACGACGTACCGTGGAAGCCCCACATAGGATTGCGAATTCGGCTCGTTCAAACAGGAGATCAGCTCCTGACTAGAGTCCTCGGTCTGCCTAGGCGGCTGCCCGCCGCCAACAAGCCCCCTAGAGTTGCCACTCCAGGCTCCAAGGCCGGCCGTGCCAGAGCTGCCAGAGAGGAAACCCGGCTCAAGATCGAGGCTAATAGGCAGACTCTTTTTGAAGTCCTTATTCGAGGTTTTCAGGGCAACGACCCTGCAGAGATGTCCACCAGCGCTGGCGAAACGTCCGATAGCGACGCGCCCGAGTCACAGCCTGCGGACAGCTCTGACGAAGAAGATCCGTGGGCGCACGAGAGCAGTTTCAGCCCATATGTCCCTGTCGCTGCCCCGAACCCCGCCCGCGCTGAGTCAAAAGACCTGTCGTCAAGCTCACCGTTGCAGTGCCAGGTCCCGTCGTCCAGTCAGCACTGCTCTGCCCCGTCCGATAGAGAGCCTCGCAGCGGGCATCCTCATGTTGCCTCCTTTGCCTGTTCTGCCGCCCGCTCTGCTGGTGAGCCGCAACAACAGCGCAAGGGCGCGCCCTCTCTGCTTGTTTCTGCTTCTGATGCCTGTGACCGATGTCTCTCAGTCAGCCCAGTCCGACAGTCAAGTTTAACAGATAGGAATGTGACAGCCCAGCGCGTGACCCCCCCCCCCCCCCCCCCCCCCCCCCCCCCAGCGACCCTGACATGAGCCAGGGGGCCCAGCCTCCATGCC